ATTACATAAATAAAATGTAATTTTCTCGGTAGCACTTCATGGATTTCATAAGCAACACTTTAGTTGCTCTGTGGATTCTTTTAAAAAGCAATTAAAAACTTTTCTTTTCAAACAAGCCTTTTGTTGATCTACGTATTTTATATTCTTTATTTACATTTGATCTTTTACATTGTGTATAATGTCTGTTGATTGTATTGTTTATTTTAATCTTTGTGTACAGCGCTTTGTGACTGCCTTTCTGTGAAAAGCACTTAATAAACTTTACTTACTTACTTTAGTTGTTCATACAAAGAATAAAGGTAAAAAAAACAATATATGCAGTGTTATCTTCATTTTAGATGTCAAAAGGTATTTGCGGCTCCCAGTGTTTTCTTTTGCGTGGAAACCGGGTCGAAGTGGCTCTTTGGGTGTTAAAGGTTGCAGACCCCTGCCATAGGCCATATATTACCCACGACTCACGTATAGACCCACTGAGAGAGCTAACCCAGTACACAGTTATACCCAACCACATGGCAGGAGAGTTAGCTTAGCTTAGCCTAGCGCCCGCTAGCGGCACAGACAGAAACATAGTAATTTCCCCCCTAACCTCAGTTACAGTCCCAAACACATCTTATTATCACATCCTCACAAATCACAAACTTAACGTTGCTCATTAACGCACACTTTTCACGGAATGACCACCATACTTCTCTGCTGGTAATCCGGAGCAGAAAAGCTCAGGTGCCTTGCCCACGTTTCTCCCTGCCCATAGTCTCTCTCATACAAATCGGTAGGGTGACCTCTACCACTCTAAAAAACTACAGGTGAACTAACAACTGAACAACAACCGTAACTACGGGGCCTTTTGTACAGCCGCCCCCAAATGTATGGAGTACATTTGCTCACAACAAAAGGCAACTTTACAAACAAAGTCACTATGATTGCCTTCTGTCTTCGTCCGGGAGGGCAGGCAGTGCCACCAGCCTCGCCCAAGGTCGGGTGAAGGTCCTGTCTTTCGCCTTGATGTCAGCAGACCTGATGTGCCCGTCTGCACCGGGGTGGACTTTGGAGATGCGACCCACGAGCCAGGAAGTGCGAGGCAGCTGAGGATCTACGATCATCACCACCAAACCTTCTGTGACATCCGCGGGGGATGACTGCCATTTCTGCCGCAGCTGCAGGCTTGGAAGGTACAGCCGGATGAATCGAGACCAGAAGTGGTCAGCCAGCACCTGCTGAACACTAACACTAAAAACTCCATCTCCGCATGGCGGAGGTTTCATCATGGTTTGGGGTTGCTTTGTCCCAGTTGCCTTGCAGCCATCGATACTGGTTTCATGACCAATTGTTATTGCTGGGTGCTATAATACTTCAATGAGCCAAAGAACACAGTGAAAAAGACGAGCTCTGATGAAGAGTGATGTACAAAACATTCCAGAAATACTGAGAAACTGAAACACTTTTACAAAAGTCCTGCTGCTCATCGCAGAACTTTCACGAGCGGCTACTGAAAACATCTCATGGATGCTGCTAAAGAAAGTATAAGAGTTAATCAATTCAATATTTAGTAAGTCAAACATATGACATGATCGGTGTGCTCAGTGTGTTCAAATAATGACATGAAAAGCTCCGTTGTTTGTGCTAGTTTAGTCAGACAAAGTTTATCAATAGTTGTGCCTCAAGTTAGGATCAGTGCAGAAATTTCACAAACCTTTTCTTGGAACTGTACATCACAAGGTAGAAGTTTACAACAGTCCGCCTTAAAAACACAATAACCAAACAACACAAAAGGGGGCTGAAAGGTAGCGAGGCCCGTATTCTTAGTTTTTTTCCAGCTTAAAAAAATTTAAGACATTATTACAGTGTGTAAAAATCTTACTTAATCCAAGGATTATTTACAAAATATTAAAATAAACCTCATGTAAAGAGGTTTACATGAGGTTTCTATGCTTTCTTTAAAACAAACCTCAGGCACTCGGCACACCACAGGAAAATGCAACATAAAGTGTCTGAGTAATATGCTGGGTTGCCACGTGACACCAAAGCATCTTCAGTTCATCTTTGCATTGATTGAATGAATGAATACCATTCTTCTGAAAGATTTAGTGACTGCAAAGCCATCACTCTAGGGAACGATGGTCAGGATTTGTCCCATAATTAGTCAATTGTCTGTATTAGACATACATGCGTGGTACATTTAAAATATCAAAAGAATAGTTATATATTCAACCACTGACTGGTTAACTTAACATTACTACTTTCTGTGGGTACAGGAGAAACATATCAGACCGGCTCACCCATGTTGTTTTTTCTTTGTGCACTCCATACAGATGCAATCTGAGAACATGTTAATTATTGAGCTTTAGATGCTTGTAAGCATATTTTATGAACAGAGCAGGTCAACCTGTTTCCTTCTGCCAAGATAAGCTAAGCAGCCATTGGGTGTCCTGTAGCCCTATAATAAATCTCCCAAAGTGCACAATCATGCAGAAACTAACTAACAACTTAAAAATATACATCTGTTTTTCAAAGATAATAGTCAGCAGTCGCAATCTTGTGCATAGAACACATCAATAAAAGCAAGTACACATCAGTCACATTAAACAATCAAGGCGACATCAACCTAGAACTTTGCTTTGCCGTTCATTTCTATTTTGGCTGAGATAGTGTCCACTGGGTGATCTTTGTAGCTTTTGTCCTTGCAGCACTTCCTCTGGAAAAATTTAAAGAGCGCAAAAATGGGGATGGCCAGACTGGGAATTCCAGCAAGGATAAAGATGATGGCATAGATCCAAGAGGGATAGGGACGTGCTTCCAGTATGGGAAAGCTCGCCTGTGATCGGGATCAACAAAAAAAGTTACATTTTGCAGCACAAAACATCAAACTACATCTTTATTCCTGCAGTTACTGTATGTAAAAACTTGTTTCTTGAAACCTGTAAACTACTGTGAACAACAAACTTACCGCTTCCTCGTCCCACACCAGATAGGTTAAATCTTTGGTGACTTGGGTAACAAAGTAGAAAATTAGGATGAAGATCATAAGGAGCGGGCTAATCACTCTCCATGTTGCCTGCCAGAAAATATTGGGCTTGTGGCCAACCATAAATTCAATGTCCTTGTTGAACCTGTTTGAAAGCAATAAGAGGGAGACATACGTACGTGTAAAAATCATCCATAAAAGGCGACCTTGTAGATTTTATTAGTTACAGTAAATAAAGCATGACATGTCACTGTTTGCTCAACTGGCTGATACCAAAGCAGACTGTAGTCTGTTATTTTTCTCTAAGCTAACTTTGAGTCCAAATTGACAACATTAAAAGATGTATATTACACCACCTTTTTTGCACCTTTTCTTCTAACTATTAGATAATTGTTATGAATAAGTCAACTTAACTGCTTTCATGTGCATGGTCAGAAGCTCTAAGCCAAAAGTACATTTTACACATTCCTCCCCTTCCTGTTGCAACATTAAAACACACTTCTGCTGTGATGAGTTACATTATCTCTACTGCAAGGTCAGAAGGCAACGCTTTGTTTGAACTCTAACAAGAACTGTTGGTTGCCTCACTGAACACTGACCTTTTCTGCCTCTTATGAAAATACCAGGAAAGCGAACTTTCCCATAATGACAAGTACAAACATGATTCTGTTTAGATGGTCGGATGTTTGATAAAGTACCTAGAAGGTCATTACTTTGGAAGCTGACTCAATGATCACCTAAGGACGGGCACACTTACCTATCAATCCCATAGATGTAGATAACTGCAAACATTTCACAGAAACCGATGATTAGAAGGGGGATTGAGCCTGCAAAGTTGTCAAAAAGAGCTAGCCAGTAGTTCCCAGAGCGTAGGGTGAATATGAGCCCAAGAGCAAAGGATATTAAGCAAGTAAGACCTGAAAAAACAACACAAGCAGGCGGTTACAATCAGACCCAGTTTTCCATGGTGGTTATGAAGAAGTTCTCAATGTGAGAAAGTTACCAGTAAAAACTTCTTTAGGCCAAGTTTGAGGAAGAACTCTAAGGTCTTGAAGGGGAACCACCACTCCCTCAATGTTCCCAAACATAGTTGAAAGGCCGAGACAGAAGAGCATGATGAAAAAGAGGACTGCCCAGAGAGGTGAAACAGGCATCTTGATGATGGCCTCTGTGAAAACGATGAAGGCCAGGCCCGTTCCCTCCACACCCTGAAGCGGTACAGGGCAAATCTTTCAAGTTCTGAATCGATTTTGAATCATTTTTGTGACACTCAAACTGGGCAAATAATCAGGGAATTAACAGGATACAAAAAAATAAAGGCTCCACCGACCTGACTGAGTAAATTCTGAATGTCGCAGGTTTTTAAGGGCAAACCTTGGATGATATCTGGATTTGTCTGATTTAGGCTGGTCAGAACCTGATCGTAGTTGTCTATTGTGATGGAGGTTTCAGGGTAGTCAAAGGCATTGATGAGATGCAGGATGTTACTGAAAAAAAGTAAGAAAAAACTCATATGAGTCTATCTAGATACAAGTAAATCTCACTCTCTCATTTTTTCCCCCTATTGTAATGTCATCTTTTGTGCAAACTGAAACTCACTCTCCCTGGCATTCATCAAATTTCTGCGTTGCCCTAAAACCGATGATGGAGTAGATCACCGTTGCAGAGTACACCGAGGTGCAGCCATTGATGATGGAGATGAGAACGGCGTCTTGCTCACAGTTGTTGCTGCAAGTAGATTTTAAAGGGACATAGCGTGAGGACACTTGCTGGACAGTGGGTTCCATTATGACTGTGTAATCAAGACCTTTACTCACTGAACAGAGTTGTAACTGGAGAAAGAGATGAGGCCCCCGAAAGCCAAGGAGAAGGAGTAGAAAACCTGAGCTCCTGCATCCAACCAAGTCTGTGGATTCATTAACTCATCCACCTAAAGAGAATCCAAAGATAAGCATTCTTATTGAGCTGTGAGCAGATTTCTGACCTATACAGAATTTTAAAACGGACACTTTCCCACCTCACTGGCTGTTGTTATTTAATAATCTAAGAGGGTACACACAATGCACAATTGCACAATTGTCACCAGGTAATTTGGCTTTAAAGTGCCTATCTAGATTACTTATGTATTGGAATTTACAGTACTAACTGTGCTGCGTTTCAGCCTTCAGTATCAGCTTTTATATCAGCTTTTATCAGTCCTGTGATAAAGGTTTACTGCTCTCATGTTTCAGGCCTGGGTGTCTTAAAACAGCAAATAATAGCTTAAAGAAATAGGCTTGTATCTCTGTAAGTACACTTTCTAACAGTTATATAACCATATATTACTGTAATGTCTGTGCAATAAATATGAGCCTTCAGCCATCTAGCTTAGCTAAGCATGAAGAGTGGAAACAATGAGGTCCAGGTTTCACTGACGTTATTGAGTAATTCTCCACAGACGTTGTAAAACTGTACAAAAACCATGACAAATAAGTTGATCTTGTCCCTTCTGATTCTTGTGACATGTGATACATTGAACCCTTACATCTGGTGTGAAGAGGTACTTTATTCCCTCTGTAGAGCCTTTGAGAGTCAATCCTCTGATGAGGAAGATTGTGAGGACAAAATATGGGAGAGTGGAGGTGATGTAGACAGCCTGAAAAAAGAAAGATGGCACGTGTATATCTGAGCAAACCTACATGTAAAAATCACTTCCTTTTCTTAGACATTGTGATTTTTCAGACCTTGCCAGAAGTCTCAATGCCACGAATGCAGCACACATACAGCAGAGTCCAGGCAGCGAACAGGGCCAGCACCATCCACCACTGCAAACCTCCAGAGTCATCAATGGCTGCTGAAGTGTTCAGAGTCTCTCTGTACCAGAAGTAGTCAACAGTGGTGCTCCGTGCGCACTCAGCCACTAAACCTGCAAACGGCACAAGCAAGAGCAACTTGATGGCAGGCTAATCATCGCATAACGTTCTATTGTAACCTCTTGTTAGATGAAGGCACACCTGTGCTGTTAGCATTGAGAGGGCATTGGCTCCAAGGCAGAGGATCTTGAAAGGAGTTGAACAGGTACCACATGATCCAGGCCATGATGGTGTTGTAATACATACCGACCAAAAATGAGACAAGTAACGATGCAATGCCTGCAAAAGAATGAAGAAAGCAGTGGAAAAACTCACAGTGATTATCTGCTTAAGATGTGGGCCATGTTTGCTAGCTTATTTTAGCATGACAGCATAGTAAGTGCTATGTTTATATATGTTACATATGATATATGCTTGGCAGGAATTTGGTCTCATTATGGTGCTCAGTGTACACTTAAGTGATCCCAATATTGAGTGTTTTTTTCTAAATGCTTGGATAGGAATGATTACTCGGTCTGTATTTTGTATTAAAACCTAGCTTGAGTAACCGTTGCTGCTAAAGCAAACCTAATGGAAGAACAGCAGAATCAATTCCATCCTCTAAAAACTCTAAATTAGTTAATACATGAGATATTTAGCCATTACGGGAATTATAACTTATTGCTGTCTGTGGAGCCATTTTGCCAACATAGACACAATAAAACACAAAGATACGAAGGCGCACACACCCACACACATGCATGGTTTTTTTTGTACACACCAACTCCAGTCAGGTAAGGGTTGATTGCTCTCCACACTCCCACGCTGCCTTTTCTCAGGCGCTGACCAATGGCAAACTCTAAGTGCAGCAGCGGGATTCCCTCCAGAACCAACAGGATAAGGAACGGGATCATAAACGCTCCTAAAAGCACAACATTCACATTCATAATGAATTAGCAAAGTGGTGAGATTTTCACTTTGTTAGACACTTTAACAAAGGAAACTAAGCACAAAGATACTTGTAAACTGTGAAAAGCAGCTTTTTATTAGCTAAACTAGGAACTGTACAAACCAAGAATAAGACTCACACATTACCTTTCCCATAGCATTTATCTCAAGAAAGACTTTATTTTTTTGAGTTTCATTAAATAGAAATAAAATTCAATAAAAATCTAGTCAGCATCTATATCTGATTATTTATGGTGAATAAAACGGGCATTTCCATAATTCATACTGTGGGGTTCTTTGTGTTGATACAACATGTCTGCATGCTTTGTCCTATCACTTGGTTGTAACCTTTTAACAAAAGCATTTCTCAAATGGTATAATTTCTTTCTAATCACTAAAATCCATAGTGTCCTTTTGTTAGCAAAAACAAAGTAAATCCACTGATATTTTCTTTTGTGGCATCTAGTCTATATTCAAATATCTTTCACATCTACTGCCCCACACGTCCCTGCATACCTCCTCCGTGGCTTTGACACAGGTACGGGAACCTCCAGACGTTACCGAGTCCCACGCAGAAGCCCACGCAGGTGAGGAGGTACTGGGCTTTGTTGTCCCATTTGGGCCTGTCCCCAGCCTCCTCGGTTTCCATCCTTTCCAAATCTTCATGAGATGGGATTCGGTCATCCAGTCCTGGGTTTGGTAATTTCAGCTTCATGGTGGCTTGCTGTACACCTCCTCCGTGCAAAAAAGAAATTGGAAATAAGAGCTTCTGTGTCTCTCTTTAATAAGAAGTTCTGTTACTTTTGTAAATTTTTAAGCAACTGAGAGGATTCAGAAGTAAACCTCCTCTGTGCAGTCGGCTCCTGAGTCTCCGAGGACTATCTCTCTCTCTCTCCTCCCTCTCTCTGAGTCCTTTATCCCTACTGTGTGTCCAGGTGAGGGACACTGAGGCATTTACTGTGACCCGTTGCACCTAACTTGTGGTTATCAGTCACTTGTCTTAACCTGTGTTATATTATATGATGTCAGCAACTTTAAGCGGAAAAAGGTGCAACCTTGTTCTTAGTGGTTAATACATTACACGAGATGCTGCCAATAACCCTTTCCCTGGGCGAAGAGTGATTGGGTGAATTCTAATAACGGAAATGATACAATATAAACCTCTATCTTTACCATCGGGTCACGTTTTTGTAATCCCTGATAAACTAGATGGCTTATTTCTTGCTACAATAACAACATTATTCAGTCTGTGAAAGCTCATTTGTGACTTATTTGAAATGATAACCATTAAAGTATTTTTAAAATGATCACAGAGTTGTGGAAGTGATTTTTTTCTCTAAGTTTATACCATGTTTACCTCAAAGTATGATTGTCAAGTAGTTCACGGCCCTTGTAAACCTTATCAGTGTTGCTCTCTAACGTAATAACTAACTAATGAAAGGCTGGCATCAACATTTACGGAGTGGTGCATTTCCACTATCAATGTAACTGGAAGTCACACTCAGGGAGTAAAGTGGGACTTGGCTAAATAATGGGGCGTTAGAAGGGTGGAGTTTGGAAAGTGTCACTAAAGAAAATCATCAGATTAACCCTTGTGTTGTCCTCGGGTCATTTTTGACCCAAAAAGAACTCTTTTTTACCATGTTGTGCAAAGGAATGACCAGTAGAACAATGCACATATTGTCCTCTAATATAATGAGGAGGAAGAATCAACGATCAGGAGGATCCAGGATTAGAAGATAAAGAAAATATTGCCAATATTTAGATCACAAGCTACACAGCAAAATCTCCAGTGTTAAATTAACACTAGAGAGTGTCTATATGGGTCCACACCTCTGAGTGTTAAATACAACACTGTTGAGTGTTAAATGAACACTTTTGACAGTGTTATATGTTTAAAAGTAACCTAGTCAGTTTTAAAGATTAACAATGGCTAACACTGAGCAGTGCTGATTTTCTAACACTGGAAAATAACTCAAAATGTTAGAAATATTCCAGTGTTAGAAAATCAGCACTACTCAGTGTTAGCCAAAAACAAAGGAAAAGCTCATTTAAATGAGGTTTTATCAGACTTAAAAAAGAAATAGTGTCAAAATGTTTTAATTAAGTTTTAATTGGGTGAAAAATCCACTTCATATTAATTAAGTATCAATCAAACCAGATGGGGTCATTTCTGACCCCTGAGGACAACAGGTGTGATTATGTGCTGCTTTAAAATTTTGAAATGCTTCAAGAAAAACATTCTCACTAAAGTTCAACATACAGCACTCTGTGGTTAGTCAAATAGTCAAAATAATCTAAACATTTAAATATTTTATTGTCTGATTTTATTTTCGCTAAAAAACAGGCTATACTTTATGTAAACAATTTCTGGTGGCCCCAAATTGCAAAATGAAAGGTAAATTTTGTGGTAATGTGTTGGTCTTAAGCTAAACTAAGGTGTAACACTGAATTGATTGACAATTTGTACTTTGTACTTTAAAAAACACTCAAATGAACTGGGGTCATTTTTGACCCCTGAGGACAACAGGTGTATTGCTTCACCTACTGTAAAGCATTACCTTTTATTTCAGTGGTCAACAGGACAAAAACAAAACTACATGAACAGAATATCCCATCAAATCTCATTTTTAAAAAAGACAAAACAGCATTTTCCCCTGGAAGTTACTTCTACCATCGCCTTTGCTGTTGCAAAATTCTGCCAAAATTCTGTCCAATTCAGAATTCTTTCAATTCTTTTCCAAGCCCTTCTCTATGCATACCACCGTCCATCACTGTAAACTGTACCGCAACACAGCAGTCCCAGTTTAGCCTGCGCTTACTACCCATGTACTTCTTAATAACATGAAATTATTATAATGTAATTTGTTTTTAAAGACATTTCACAATATGAAATAACCAGATATCTCAAGCAGCACTTTGTGTACACATCCACTGTCTGACTACTTCAATCTAACATGGAGTTTCCCATTGTTGCTGCTTTGTAAAATGTCTGTTGCTGAGCAGTTCTTGCCTCTGAAGAATAATCTCTTTTCTTCCTCTCTTGACCTCTTTGTCTTACATCTCTCTCTGAGAGTGAATTTATTACACGCTGCTTTTTTTTTTAATGTGGAAACTGCAGCTACAGCAACCGTGGCTTCCCCTTTTTTTTAAAGCCTGTGCAGAACAATTTGTGACATTGGTGATATTTGCTGACCTGTGAGAAATTACCTGCAACTTCAAAAAAAAAAAGTTACTCCTCTTATGCTCACTGCCTGCTGCAGACCGAATCATCAAATAGTTAATAGTTCATTTGTGCATGTGAAGTCAGCAGGTTACCATCAGTAATGTTAAATGCTTCACTGTGGGGGTGAAATAGCATCTAAATGACTGATTCTTCCACTCTATTCATTTTTTTTGTCTTAGTATCACAGTGACTTTTTTTCTTAATATTACATTTGACTGTAATCACAATTCTTTCTTTCTTAATAGATCCCTGCCTCCAGGATTCAGTGTTTTTTCAGCATCATCCATCGATCCGTTCTCTTTCACTCATCCTTGACAGGGTCACGGGGGCGGGGGCTGGAGCCTGTCCCAGGTGTCTTAGAGCGAGAGGCAGGGTACACCCTGGACAGGTCACCAGTCTGTTGCAGGGCTAACACATAGAGACAGACAACCACTCGCACTCATATCCACACCTATGGGCAATTTAGAATCACCAATTATCCTAACCCCACTAACTGCACGTCTTTGGACTGTGGGAGAGAACCCACGTCGACTCCACACAGAAAGACCCTGATGGTGGGATAGAACTCAGGACCTTCTTGCTATGAGGCAACAGTGCTATGTTACAGCACTCTAAATTCAGGATTTTCTTTTCTTTCTTTTTTTTAAAGGTTTGTCATCATGGGACCATGTTAAAAGACAATACTGGATGTCTTTTTGAAAGATACATGAAGCTTAAAAGCACTTAAATTATGAAGATTTATGTTGCATTCAGGCTGTCTGTGAAGAAATGTGTAAAATAATGTTTTTTGAAAGTCAGATTTGAGTATCAGTCATTTTTAAATGGAAATCACTAATATAATAAAAATAATCTCAAGATATTGCTTCATTAAAAATATTTCATTTGCTACTGTAAAAACTATGCTTTCTTTAATTCAGTGTAGATATGCTGAGAGAAAGTTATCCAAATGTATCTATGCACGTATTTCTAACAGATTTGGATCAGCATGTGGGAGTAAAAAGGGCAGCGCAGCACAGGTAGTTTGTTCATCTTGTCACAAAAGATACAAAAACCGCTTTCAACCCGCTTTCAACAAATTAAATTGTACAAAATATCTAAAACGATTTGTACAGAACACAAAACTCACAATATGTTAACACAACCTCACACACCCCTACATCCGTTTACCCAACCAGACGGCGGTCTGAGCTTCTCTCCTGACTGACCCAGGCTCAGATAAGCAGCAGATTATGAATTGATGTCATTGCTTTTTGCATGGATAGATATCAATGTCACTCACTGAGGCATCAAAAGAATTTGGCAAACGTTCTTTGGATTTGAGGAAAAAAGACATTTTTGAAGGAGGAACAGGATGTTCTGTGGTGTTACTGTCACGGACCGCCGGGGCAGACCATGTGGAGTGAGTGGAGGACCCAAGAGCAAACAGAGGTGAGGACACAAAACCGGACTTAACAGAAGGCGAGCCTTTATTTAGGGCCGAAAACATAAGGAACAAGGCAGCAAAGGAACTGAGGGAAAACCTGAACATAGACTGGGAAAACTATGGCTAAACAAGGTACAAACTAGGACTAGTTGAGGCTGGGGAACTATGACAAGGGGTAGGGGAGATAACACAGACGACGCGACACAGACTACATGAAACACAGAGACTAAATACACAAGAGGGATGATCAGGGGAAGTGGCCACACATGGGAACACAGCTGACACAGATAAACATAACAAGACATGGCAGGAGTAAACAACACTGACGGGAGACTGTCAAAGTAAAACAGGAAGTACACAGAGGTGCAAACAGGAGGAGAGAGAGAGAGCACGGGCATAGTGGGCTGGGGAAACATGGAATAAAACATAAGGAGAGACGAGGGCTCACAGATACACAGAGGGGCACACAGGGGGCAAAAGCCACGAATGGAAAACACTAAGGGAACAACACAAGAGGGCAACTCAGAAAACATGGCCTAAAATAAGGAACGAAATACAAAAATACAAAGAACTAAGAATACTGGGCCCACATGGCCCAGGACCATGACAGTTCTTGTGCTTGATGATTTTGGCAGAAACAGTGTTGAGCTGTAGCAGCATATTTGGAAGAATAGAAAAGAAAATCTAACAACTAACCATTTAGGACACTTAGGTAATCATCCTACAGAAAGTGGTGACGCCTGCAAATCTATCTGATAATCCTAACCACTAATTAACAGATCACAGACCAAAGATAAGCAGGATCAATACGGATGACAAGGATTCATTTTCTAAAATCCTAAACAAACACACTTTTCCAATAAAGAAACAATGTACAAACTAGCACACTGACACAGGTATTCGTAAAATTTTGAGGTCTTGCAGAGGAACCAGCAGTCCTTCTGTACTTCCAAGCATCGTGTAGAGGCCGGGACAAAACTTTATGGCCTCTATGATTGCAATAGAGGAGAAACTGTTCCCTTCAGACTCTATAAAACAACCTGCGGTGCTTCACTGACTTATTTAC